GGCCTAATTAACTCTATACATAATCAGAGTAACGAGATTAAGAGATTAGCAAGTGAAAGGATTAGTGGTGATTTTGAAGTTAATCTGAAAGATTTTAAGCAATCAGGACAGGAAATGGAAGTCAAGGAGAACAGAAAAATGGATGACAACCAATCTCAGAATTCAACACAGGTAAATTCTTTTTAAAATTTATTTTGTTACTTTTGGAGAGTGGATGGATTAGAAATTTTATATCAGTTTAACATTAATGATAGTAAGCATGACCTTTATTGGATTTAATCATTAAATGAAATTAAGGGGTAGAAATTATTTTTAACATACGATTTCAAGGACTTGAGATTTTGAATTCTCACTGCAAATAAGAAGTAAGTAATTCTTAAATTTTCAAAATATGATGTCAATTTCAGTTTGAAGCTCTAGATAGTGAAGAATTAGATTCTACATTGATCTCATCACCTAGTAGTAATAATGGTCATGGTGAGATAACTCTAGACATAGTTGGTGAGTATCAGGGCTGTTGATTTCATTTCATGACATTTTTAATGGCCTTTGAAAACAGATCCTTTAGGTCCAAAAATCCTATACAAGTATAAAATACTTTATTAGTTGCTCATCCAAATGAAGGGAGCCACGGTGGCTCAGTGAGATAAAGGCTTGCTCGCGAACCTGAAGGTCCAGGGTTCAACCCTGGCATAGGTTGAGATAATACCTCATCACTCTCTGCATGGCGTTGCCCATCCTCATTAGCCCACATACATGGTGCAGAAAAGTAGGACGTAAAACTCCATTCATTTTGTTTCATCTAAAATGAAATGATTGTTTCCTTCTTTTTTCTAAAGTTTAAATTGATGAAAGTGCACAGCCTGTAATAAATTGTTTATTATCCCATTAGATTGATAAGACTCGTTGTTCTTGCCAGTTAACCCCACCTGCCATACTGAAAAAAGTGAAAATAGGTTAAAATCCAGAGTTGTAGGTGGTATTTGGAATAGTTCCATGATTTACCACAGTACCTCCGGGTGCAAGCAATCATCACTTCAAGGAACGTCTTGGACTGTATATAATTATATATTATCATTTTCAGATAAAAGCAAAGAGCAAGAAACTGAGAAAGAAGTTTTAACCAATGGAAACAAAATACAAGAAGAAGATAGAGTCCAATTAGCCATCATGGAAATATCCAGTGATTTTATTTCTGGACATTTATCTTCGGGGAATTTAATATCTGAGGATAGTGATGACAGCTCCCATAATTCTGATTTGGACACCCATAGAAGGAAACTGACGGAAGCCCAATATCCAGAAACTGGATCTGGTTTGTCAGACAATGATTGGAACCCGTACACCACGGAATCGGACACCAACATGACACCAAGACAAAATGGCGTCTTTAGGATAGAAAACGTGGCCATCATGACACCACGAGATGAACAAGACAATGTGAGAAACAGTTTGAAGAATCGTGTCAACCAAATTGATGAAAGAAGTACAAATATTCACAATGGTATAAATGATGAGAATGCTTCTCCATGTGACTCAACATCAAAGTACGATGAAACTTCAGAAAATAAACAACTGACCCCGAAGAAAGAAAATGCACAAAATGGTGACATGGACTCTCAGGATAGTTACCATGAAAACGATGAAAAGACACCCACCAATGAGAAACACACAGAAGATGAAAACAAATCTACAGAAATATCTTCATTCTCTCCAGAATTGTGCAGCTCAAAATTTATTTCCAAGGAGGTAGAAAAAGAGACAGGTGCCTCCAGCCCCAGAAAACAAGATGATTCAGCCTTTTCAGCAACTGACGCCAAAAGACAAGAAGTATCCAGTTACTTCCCTTCAGGATCTCGATCCTCCAGTAGGGGAAAGTCTGATAGTGAGTCATCAACTCCCAATATATCAAATAGATCCACATCTGTTTTAGAGTTCTCCCCCTTGTTGTCAAGCACAGGATTAAATGCAACTCATATGCAGCAACATGCCAACCGATTTAATGTGACACTGAGCGATGTCTCAGAAATGACGGAACCACTGAGAGAGTCGCTTGACTTTAAAGAATTGAAGGAAGTAGAGGCATCAACTATAATTTCTGATGATCAAACCGAGACGGCTGATCCTAGAGACCAGAGGACATTGCCTGAAAAGACTGAACCTCTTAATACTGAGCAGCCAGAAAGGCAAATATCAAATGAGACAGGCACAGAAGATACAAACAGTAACAATTTAGCTGCTGATGACAATAAAGATGATAAACAATTATCAGGCCAGACTCCTAAGAAATATTCAAATGAGATGACCAATGAATCTGAAAATCAACAAGCATTAAACATGCTTGAAGATAGTGAAAGAATAACCAATGACAAGACAATAAATCACCCAACTCATGTTAGTACAGACAAGTCATCAACAAAACCTTCATCAATGGCTGATGTTGATGTTGACCCTAGCAACAAGCCAATGACAAATCTTCAATCATCTCAGCCCTTTGAGGACGGTCAGATTGATGTTTATCAAACCAACGAGCAAAAGACTCATCCAAATGCTGCAGACAATCTGTCTGCAATTTGTGGTATCTTAACTTCAGATAAACCAGTTGATTTTAAACCAACCAATCAGCTGAGGGATGAGGCAGACAGATTGCTGGGAACTTCTCAAAATGTAAATGATCAAATTCAGTTACCAAAACATAATTTGAATTCTTCGTTTTCGAGGTCAATGGATGATTTGACTACCAAAGAAGTGCAGAAAGAAGAAGAAACACAGAAGAAATTTGGATCAACTGATTATTTGGATCGAATCCATGCCACAAGGAAAAAGTCAAACATATTAGCAGAAGTAGAAAACTACTTGGCAAATTTTCCATCACAAAAAATTGATATATCTTCAATTCAAAGTAGAAGAAGTGAATCGACGCTGCATCGCTCGAGAGGTTCAACCAGTTATGTTAGAAGAATTTCTCAACATTCCAAAGATGATACACTGAACTCTGGATCAAAAAATTCTGATGTGGGATTGAATAATGTATCCAGGTATGCAAGTTTGAATAGATCTAATAATTCAATCCATGGATCAGAGGAAAATTCTCAGGAAAATGAGAAGAAGAGGGAAACAAATATTCAAGTGCCTTTTCAGCAAAATGGTGGAAAACCTCATGGCGAGGCGGACATTGTAACTGAGATACCAGAGAATAGGTTATCAAGTACAGTTTATATGGACAAGATGAAGAAGGAAAATCCTCTAGATGTCAGCACCCTCTCACTATCCTCTTTAGATAATTCTCAAAATGAAAATTGTAAGCAGATTAACGAAGACTTACAAGAAATTCAGAAAAATCTTGGCAAAGATCAGAGTGAAGATGCTTCAAAATCCATATCTTCGGATTCAAATTATCACTCCTGCTACACAGCGCCTCCTGGCCAATCAGATACCGGTAGTCAAGACACTACAACAAATCAAAAATCAGTATTATCACCAAAAGACAATTTGACCTCTTCTGATGAAAGTGCTGATATTGTACCGAGTACTACTAGCTCCACCCCAGAACGCACTAGACGACTAATGTGGGATTACGCTGCTGATATAGGTTATGATGATACAGGTCATTTCATTGGCCGAAACAGTGGAGGGGAGCAATCACAACAAGCAGATGGTAGGCTGAGTTATGTATCAGGTTCTAGGATTGGTCAAAGAAATTCCTATGACAATAGATCTTTGAATTCTATTGGACGACCATCACAAGAGAGATATCTGAGTCGAGACCAGATTCAGATGAATGCAGCTCGAAGGATCAGTTATGGATCTGAAGGAGAGGAAACAGGAGCATCTACAAGCAGTGGTCACCCTGATGGGAACATGTCTGACAAGGCTGAGAGCGAGGTGACCCTTATCGAGCAGGATATCGATGCAGAACCAACCGAAGATGTCAATTTCGAAAATGACAATCTTCTCCAAACTCTGAATCAAAAACATAATGTTATCAACATGATTGAATCCCTACGTGCCCAAAGACAAGCTTTAGAGGAAAGTTTCCGTTGTCCTGGCATGACAATCCCCTGCTACCAGCCTGCTCTTAACAGATCTCAGCCCGTCCATGAACCTGTTGACATAGTAACAGATTTAGCAAATCAGATGGAAAATGTGATAAGAATGGGAAGTTCACCAGGACGTGTTGAAAATTGTTTATCAAAAGTCATCAACCAAGAACAAGAATATCGAGAGCAGATATTTCGTAGGATTTGCTCGGATTCAAGTTTTTCTGACAGTTCCTTTGCCTTAGATGAATCGGTAACCAATTTGAACCAAGCTATGGATGAGGTCAAGAGGCGCTTGGATCTTTCAAACATCACTTCAACAGAATCTACCAAACATCCAATTGTGCCACGTCTAGATCTCAGTAGCTTGGATATCAAGGAAACTCGGAAGTCTGACTTTAACAGAAGACCATTTATGCCTCCATTAGATCTGAGTCGTAAGAGTTCTGGATCCAGTAAAAAGGATTCCCTGCTGTCGTCCCAACATGAGAAACTTTACAGTCAGGGTTTAGATTACGCAACCCCAAAGAAACATGTCGTCCAATGTTACCCTGTGTATGGATATAAAAAAGATGGAGATGATTCAGAAAAGAAAGGAGGAGAAAATAAGTATGAAGCTGGTCCATTAAGACAAGGTCCACCTGTTCGATCAACAGATCCTGAATCGAGTTGGCCGGAGGAGGGCCATGTATCTAATGTTGCCAGGTAGGTTATGTTTTGGTTATAATTATGACTCATATTGTGATAAAACTTATTAAAATCAGGATTACTCATATATATCTTTAGATAAGAATTTTGTGAACTGGGACATAAAACTTTTGCCGTACTCCTACAACATGGCAGGCATATTCTCCCTATTACCTATCAAATTATCTCTGAAGGAGGCGAGTTAACATTATCTCCCTTTAACTTACTCAGATCAGACCGAAGTTAAATGACCCATTACATTCTTATGTATTAATGTATGTTTTTGTTAACAGAGAGTTTGAGACACTGGGAGATTTTAATGAATACACAGATAGTTCAGTGGCTGATTCTAAATTCACCTCTATCAGGTACAGGAGTTAATTTGGTTTACTGATTACTGTATACTTTACATTGATATTGATATGTTTCCTTTTACTGTTAAAACTGGTAAACCGTATAATAGTGACCTTAATAATTCTTTACAGCTTGAAAACAAAGATTCATTACCTGTCATATTGTCAAGAATGATCAAACTGTATTAATGTGAAAGCGAAAGTAGGCTGCACATGAAGACATCCCAGGATTATCTTTTTAAAATGTTCTAAATTGAATTCAGTCAGCTTTTATAAATAGTAAATGTTTTGATCTATTTCAGCAGGTGGGATTCCTCATTAACCAATGTATCTGAACAAAGTTCTACTGAGATGTTAACAGAAGGTCCTAATGTTATTAGATCTAACACAGATAGACGTGCTGCTTCATCTCCAGCTGGGTGAGTTAGTACACAAGTTATACCTTGGACTTGAACCTAAGGTTAATTCTAGATTTTTATAACACTGTAATCTAAGTTGATAATATAAACTGGATTTTAGTGATTCACCATTCATCTCACTTGAACACAAAATTCATTTTAGGATTTTGAGAATAAGGCAATATTCATGAAGAATACCTTCTCAGAAGGTCACATATCTGATACATGTATTAAAATAGATTGCAAATTTTATGACAAAGACCTGTTTTTCATTTTTTGTTTGTTTATTTTTTACAGAATTGAGTCATCAACAAACCGATCTGTAGAACAAAGTCAGTCTGATTTACTAACAGAGTCTGGTGTTGAAACCAGTCCATCTCATACTGATAGACGTATAGCTTCCTCACCAGCAAAGTAAGTCTAGGTTTATTGCATTATTATTATAATTATGGTTATAGGGTTAGGTAGTCATGAGAACAGGCTTAAAATAGACCAAACTTTCGTTCCGTTTTCATTAGCTTTTATTTTTAATTTAGCCACTTCAGTTAAGGTCTGAAGAAGGACCTCTTGAACATCTGTCAATTTGTTGATACCTCTAGCCAATCAAATTTCTTCGCTCTCCAACGCTGGAATTTTTTGAAGCAAACAAAAGGTTTATTCCGAAAAGTATTAGACACTGAATAAAAATTTCTGGACCCACCAATCTATTCTGCTATTCTCTGTGTTATTGTTAATTATCTATAATCAATTTTAAATAGTATTAATTGTTTTGATTACATTAAGAAATAGTAGTATATATATTGTACTAATATGTGGCCAGCAGAGTTTCTATTAGAGTTTAAAGAATTAAACAAACTGAACCTTATGTTCCAGGGAAAACACTGATTGGAGTTTCCGACATCCTGAAATGCCAGGCCTCATTCAACCTGTTCCCTTTAAACCTTCCACTACTACTACCACTACTGATATTAGCATAGGTAAGCAGAATTTTTTTTTAATTAAGTGTCTTAATAGAGTTTAAATTGATGGTTGTCTAAATGAAGTGGTTCTGTAACTGATAAAACTTGTTACACTCTGAGGTAGATTAATAGTGTCTAATCTTATGGTTATCATCATTGCATTCACTAATGTTTTGAATTTACAGGTGCTCCTGAAGAATTGAGTGCACCACTATCTCCAACCTATAGTTCTCCACGTGATTCTGATCAGGGTGGTAGTCGCTTTAAATCAAAGTTTAGTCGGTATAGGTATGGTATTTACTCTTCTATTACAATGTATGATCTAGCAAAGACACTTATCAGGACAATTCAAAACATAAACACTACTACAAGCAGTCAACTTGATATATAGGTGGAATAAATAGTAATTGAATACAGACTAAACTATCTTGTGTTCATTACTATTTAAACTAACTATAAATAATGTGAATTGATTGTGTTGATATTTTGAATCATTCCTGGATGGTAGAGATATATTTGCTCAGCAAAAGTTTTGATCCAAATTAGACTATTTTTGAATAAGATGGATGATATTGTGTGATTTTGGCAAAATAAAATTTTTTTGGGACTTTTAAAGGTTACAAAATCATTGATGATTATCTTAGCAGTTTAAAAAGAATTAGTAATAATCTTTGAATGACATTTATTAGTAGTAGATAGAATATCAGATACAGAAGAACTCTATGGAAATATAAAAATAAAAAGAAAGGAGTAGTATATCCATAATAGTCTTCTTTTTTATCTTATATTGATAATATGATTCCTGTACATTTGTGCCATCTGTCAATGGTTTCTTAAGATGAATAATTAACAAAGATTTATTAATTAATTACAGGTTGGCAAGCCATATACATGGTGAAAGTGATACAGGCTCCATAGCTGATAGTATTACTACCATGGAGAGTACACATACAGGTAGGTCATAGTGATGTGGGAGGGGCTAGACACTGGGTAGGGCGAGACAATGAGATGTATCTAGACTGAATTTTAATATGGAATGATCTTGATGAGTGTTTAATCTAATCCTTCTAACTTTTCATGATTCTTTGCATTAGCAAGTAAAACCAATCTTTCAATCTTGAGAAATGACTGTGATCTTATTTTGTGTTTTTTTTTTTAAATCTAGGATCGGATGATGCCATAGGACCAGATTTACCTAGATCAATGATGGGATCCAGAACTGACAAGAGTCTACAAGGTGGTATATACAGTAAACCAGCCTCCAGTGTAATACCAGAACAAGCTTTATCTACTATTGAAGAACGATCAACTCTTGTAAGTTTTTTGGAATTTATTGGGATAAGATGTTACTGCCATTGTTGCAAAATTGCTTCAATTTGCAGAATAGACACACCCTTTCACTTATGATGCAATGCAAGATCAGCCGAGTGAGCTAAGAACCCCTTCCATCATTTGTTTGACATATCCAAGCCAGCGGTGGAGCCAAAGGGGGGGAGCAGAGGGGGAAAAATCTCATAACTAAATTAGTAATTCGGGCAATCTCAGATATTCCACCCCCCACTCCTCACATCAGAAATAAACTTGGCTCCGCCACTGAACCAAGCAAATGATGTCATGTTGCTACAGAACCTTCCAATCAGAAAGGATTTGTCAACACGGAGAGTCCACAAGCTAATAATGTTCACATTATATTTATTATGATTACAGGATGATAAGGTATCAGGAGAGAGCAATAGAAGTGAACAGTCTATGGGTAAGATACCAGTACAGGACACCACAGATAGTGGTCTATATACCATGACGTTAAGAAGTCAAGCACATGATACCCAACAGAAGGTCAGTAGTTGTTCTTAATCCCAATACTTTGTCAGTAATCAATGCCTTATGCTTATTTTTGTAGCATTCTTGGTTTCCCTTTCCTCTTTTTTTTCTATCTAATTTTGCATAAACTTTAGGCCTGAAAAAGCAATTGTATATGGGAAAATTTGTCTGATTAAATTAAAAGTTTGAACAGAAGAGAGATTTTGACGTTTTATCTTTATCCATCTTAAGTTGCGTGTGTTGATATTTTTAATTTTTGCTCAAGGATTCATTGGTAAACTCATTAGCATAATGATGTTGATTCCAAAAAGGTTGCCATTTAAATCAGTATTATTTAAACTTTATGTATTGTAAGAAATATTCAACTAAATTCGGGAATCACATGAAAAGGGAGGTAATTATTAATTAGGGCGAGTGTGCGGAAATAAAGATGTCCTTTGGTATACAAAAATGGGTATTCAACTCCTGTTTATTGGGTTTTTTTTCAGACCACAATGGCTGACTCCAATCAATTTGTAGAAACAAATAATGGGCAAAATACCACACATCAAATGCAGCAATCAGGTCTCATGGGTAGCAATTCCATAGATACTAGTAACCAAGGACAACAAGATAATGGCCGTCGCTCGCCTTTTGATGAGAAATACAGAGCCCTCCCACTTAATGTTCATCAAGGTCAAAGGTCAAGGTCACCAAGTTTTGATGGTAGAATGGAGATGTCTGGGCGTCTGGACTCACAGAATCCAGTTATGTCCCTTGAACAAAATCGACTTATTTCATCGGACTACCAATATCCTGTTCCCAGAACTAGTGCTGCCTCTTTGATAGACTCACAGAATCCAGTTATGTCCCTTGAACAAAATCAACTTATTTCATCGGACTACCAATATCCTGTTCCCAGAACTAGTGCTGCCTCTCTGATAGACTCACAGAATCCAGTTATGTCCCTTGAACAAAATAGATTAATGACATCGAACTACCAATATCCTGTTCCCAGAACTAGTACTGCGTCTCTGATGGACTCACAGAATCCAGTTATGTCCTTTGAACAAAGACAACCAATGACGTCGGACTACCAATATCCTGTTCCGAGACATCAAGACAGGATATTGTCCCCTGTTGCTAGGGACACAACCAGGCAGTCACATACTCCTGTAGTTGTTGATATGAGACTGGATGAAAGAAATGGTAGACAGCATCAACAGGTACCATCAGATGCCATGGATACCCATCAAAATTATTATGAAGAAGTAAGCATGCCTTATGATAATCCAAGATCTCCTGTGCCTATAGATACAAGACAACAATATATTGAGGAACAAAATCGAAAGAATCAGCGCAGGTCTCCTGTTGCTATGGATACCAGACAAGAGATTGTGTCGCCTCGTACAGATCGCCAGAGATACATTGAAGAGACGTATTCTAGAGACAATGCACTTCAGCATTTGAGAGAAGATAACCCAGTTCAACCCAGAATTACTCAGGTTAGTTAAAAATATGTCTCTTTTGACGAAGGATAGTGTATTGCTTGCTCAGTTTTTATATGAAAAAATTTATTTTGTATATTTATTTCATAAAGAAATGACATTTCCCATTTAATATTTCAGACAGAGAAAATTGGTCACACTGGATCTCAATCTAACACTGGGTATGTTTCATTATTTATTTCTAATATTCTCACTTGAATTGTTATGAAATAGGCATACAGCTAAAATATATAATATAGTAACATTTTCAAATCTTCAAGTTTTAGTTTGTGAGATCTAAATTTTTATTTTTAGACCAACAGATGAAGTGATAATGAAATCACGTAAAACAGAGAGAAGAAAACAATCAGAAAGAAACAGGTGAGGACATTATATAGTTGATTGAGGGAGTTGTAGTGGCTCAGTGGGTTAGATGCCAGTTTCGATTTCTGGATCAGCTCTACCACAGCTCGCTCTTTTGGAACACTGAACACTCTGCAACTGGATTTGTTATCTCGGCATATTTTTTTCAGTATCTGATTAGCTAATACGGTTTATATGACAAAATAAACTGATATAATTTAACGAAAATGGTAAATTGTTTGAAATTTGTAATTTCAGACCCCAGTATGGCCATGATTCTACGTCTGAGGAAGAATATCTACGCGGGTTGGAGAAATCTCCACGAGGAGCACGAGACGTTCACTTGCGTCAATCATTAGAGGCCGAGATCAGTATGACACCACCCCAAGATCTTTCCACCATGTGGCCAAAATATTCCGAAATTTATCCCTCGGAAGCAGAGAGTCAAATCAATCCCACACAGACAGAAGTTTTCTCTGAATTAGTAAACCATCCCACACGACAACTCATCTATAAATATTTCAACGAACGGGAAAAATCTCGACAAATGATTGAAAATCGTATCGCTAAAGAAAGAGAATCGCGTCATCAGCAGAGTGTACGCTCGGATAAGTTCAAGGACTCAGACGAGCCGATACCATCCTCTAGTTTCGAGCAGATGAATGCCAGTTATGGAGAGATCCTCGAAGCATTGGCAGCAGAAAGAGCGAAGAGACTCCGTCGAGAAACAAAAGCTAAATCAATGTCAAGGTCAGCTCAGAAATCTGGGAAGTCTGAGAAGCAGAAACGTCCGGAAGCGGTTCCTGTTCAAATGATGGACAGCCAGGATACTCTTTATTCAATACCAGAGGACCAGAGTTACGACACCCTAGCTGCTACCTCAAACAGCCAATCACAAGACAGCCGCGATATGGAGTCAGCCATTACTGACCCAATGTCTACGCTAAAACATAAAATACGTCTTCAACGTGAGAAGATAGAAAAGGAAAGACGAAGGGAGTTGAAAAGAATGGAGAAACTATGGAAACTAGAACAACTTCTAAAAGCCAAGAATAGTGGATTGATTGGAAACTTCGTCTTGGAAAATAACTTGAATGCTATTTCATCTACCTCTACTGCAGCCTCGATATCAGAATCCCAAGATGCATTGAGCTTGGATTCGACCTTGACCTTATCATCCCACACAGAGTTATCTGATGATATTTCAACAACTATAAAAGATAGCAGCTACGAAGTCCATAAAGCTAAGATGAATCGAAGTAGACAACATGCAAAGGATAAATATGAAGCTGCCTTACACCAATTGTTGTCGTCAGGTTCATCTGAGACGTTAACAGAGGGTGAGGACACACCAAATTGGGCAAAGAAAGAAGAAAAAAGAAAGAAGGTGGACAAACCGAAAGAAACTTTGAGAGTTGGTAGTAAGGAAGTCAGAAAGCCAAGCAGAGGTTCAGAAGGCTTGAGAGATCATCAGGCTCGAAAACAAGCCAGAGCCACTGAAAGAGAGAAAACTACAAAATCAAAAGAAAAAGGACGAAAATTGATAGAAACAAGAACCAAATCACAACAAAGTTCTCCATATAAGGTGAAAGATAGAAAACTCAAATCACCAAAGAAACCAGAATCATTTGAAATTTCTCCAGTGAAATGGAACCATGAGTCAACAAGAGTTACCTCCCCTAGTAAAACATCCAAAAGTGCAGCTTTGTTAAAAGGCTTATCTAGAAATATTTCACCAGTTAAAAAGTCCTCTTCCAAATCAACGTACACGTCAAGAGAACCCATGACATTTCACCATGACGATACCTATTACCGTACTCGCAGTGTTTCACCAGAAAGGCGATGGCGTAACCGAGGCGTTCAAACATCACCTAAATTGAGATCCAGATCGTGTTCGCCATCATTTAATGACACCCAATTTATTTCTCCATCTGGTGGTAAAAAGAAGAAGTCAAAGCATGGAAATAAAGTGGTCTACCTTTCTCATCTATACAGCCCTGACTTTCAAGAGAATCGTTCACCAAAACATCGTCGTAAACATCGAGAACATAGAGAGAAACCGAAACCTGTCCCACCACGTAAGTTTTCTAATTTTTTAAATGATGAAACACAAGTTTGATATCTCTATCCCCTAAATGTCACAAAATGATTTTCCAATGTTTAGTTTGATTGGCAAGACCACATGAAGTCATCATCAGATCTCATCGAAATTAAGATCAAAATTTATGCACAATTTCAAAGTAATTGAACTCATGTTCAAATTGTATGTTTATACTTTTGGTATGTTATTCACATTTTATTGTCACATGCTACAGTGAAACCATGTGAGAAATTTGCATTCATTTACCGATGAACTACAAATTTCCTTAGGGATCTCCAATGACATAATGAAGTTGTAATGATGCAAAAATATCTACATTCATTCCTTAAATAAGTAAATGGTCCCAAAAAGGATTATTATGATAAATCAATAATTTTATTCATCTTTTAGCCATAGCATGGTATGTCTCTGTGGACAACACTATGAAAAGACCAGAACCATTACAAGAACGTGTACCTGATTCACAGACAGCTCCCCCTGTGAGACCGCGAGCTGTGTGGACGATAGACGATGATCATTTAAACTCTCCTGAAATGAAGGAAGAAACACCAGAAGTCACACCACGAGATATTCGATCATCAGAAATCATTATTGATGGTGAACTGTTTAAAAAACCTTACGCCATTACTTTACAGGTCAGTATTTAAGTTAAGGGAATTTTTTACAGAAACGTAATTTCATAAGGATCTGGGAAATGACTGACACCAATATCAACCCTCTATTTCATACTCCAGAGGAGAAATTATAAATCTTATTCCTTAGAAAAAAATATGTGAGAGTAAAAGTGCTTGCTGGTTGTCCTAATTGTTTTTATTTTCAGTCAGGAGCAGAATTATGTAATTCCGTACATGAATGATTTCACCAGAATTTGATTGTCATTTTCATTACCGAACATGTTTCACAACTTTCGCTTTCCCCAAATAACGTCTTTCTCTTTGTTGCAGCTGTATATGCCAGTATTATCTGATAGAGCTCAAATATTGTTATTTCCTATTATAAATCAATTAAACAGTTGATCAAGTCACTATGAATGTTGTGTTTATTTGTAGGAGGCATTGATAAAACATAAAAAAGACTTTATATCCAAGTCTCGTGAAAGACAGAAGAGAATTGCTCTAGCCACGGAACATCGGCAGATGCAGGATTATCTTCAGATGGAACGAGACAGAATATTTGGTGATAGAAAAAGAAAAGGCAAGAAGATAGAATATCCAGAATATAAAGGTGGGTGTATTTTTGTTGAATTTTTACCTCAATGATAGGAAATTTGTATTGATATTTTTTCCTGTTTTTCTCTTATTATTATAATAAGTAATCACAGTTCATTGACAGAGCCTGCTTGAGAACTGGGTGTTAATTTCCCAGTTTACCACAAAATGATGGTTAAATATCCTAAAACCTATAGCCTACACCTGAGTCTATCATTTATTTATGATTAAAACATATTTACTCTGCTTAACAGCAGTGGCGGAGCCAGGTTTTCGTCCGAGGGGGGAGGCGAAATATCTGAGATTGCCCTAATTTCTAACCTAGTTATGAGATTTTTTGCCCAAAAAACTTGCTTTCGGGGCTGCGAGCGGCTCTGCCACTTTTTTTCACAATACATCAAGTTCACAATCCATATTGTATTTTATTAGATACTGTATATGGTCAACCCAGGAAGAAACTATTTACCAAGAAAGAAATGAAAGAAATAACAGCCAGGTTAGTTTATTGTTTTTGCCACCTTGCCATCCAACTCTAGCCTTACCATGTATGTGATATCCTCATTGTTTAGGGCCATACATCAAATTTAGTTTATATGGGAGTTCATCCCAACCCATTTTTTTTAGAATTTTCAATATAACAAACAACAAATTTGACAATATAGATGTGATAACTCTTGTTATCTGTGCAAAACTGAAACAATAATGACTCCTTTGAAGGCTATAAGTGAATACAGGGTTTTGTGTATTGAAATTATCTATACATATCACTGTGTAATAATTGTAGATGGTATCGTAATTTACCAGAAGTCAAGTATAGAGAGAGAATGGAGAAAAGAAGACAACAGAATCAAATAAATAGATTGAAAGCTATGGTCTTTAATAGAGTAAGTCAAATTTAATGTTATTTAACCTGTATGTGTCAGTCATTCCTATTATTGGAACTCATGAATTACTTCTGCAGTCTTCGTCAGTTTGATGGAGAAAAACTGTTTACTTTATAGGATGGGAGAATGAACTGAGCACTCTAAAGGTCCCATGACACATAGAAATTTAGATAGAATAGTCTAATACTGCTGTTTTTTCCTTCATTAATAAGAAGCAGAATGTTTTTGTAATGAAGTTAAGAGTAGTTTGAAACAAGTAAATCAGTGAACTATGAACAGCCTCAGGTTTTTATTGATATCCACTTATTTATTTATTTATTTTATTATTAATCTTTTTTATTGTAGAAAGTACAGAATACTGTATTACGTCGAGCTGGAGTTATAGTTTAAACAGGACTATAATATCTACCACTCAGAATATACTGATATTACCTCTACCGTCCATCTATAATCACCACATTATACCACAATATACCACAATATTATTATTTATTATCACTGTTTGACACAGCTTATTACTATTATCACTGTGTGACACCTTGTTATAGCTTGGAAATCATTTGTAAGATATACAGGCACTTTGTGGATGTAAATCTCCACCTTAATTCATCTTGTATTTTTATTGGTATATCCATCTTTGCCTGTCCAAGAAAATAAAACTGGAATGTCAAAATTTATTTCATTCCCTTGCTTTGTGAATTGTATCCATTTTGATGAACTTTATAAAGTTAGATGTAAAACTCCCCTGTTTCCTAACTTTGTGGATACATAGCCCAATAAAGTGTAACAAAGTAAGACATAATTGAACAACAATTAAGTAAAAATTGGGAGTGTTATGTTTGAATATAACAGATATAAAGCCGACAAACTTAGAAATTTTAATATTGAATTTGTTGCTGTCAAAGCATTATGTGAATCATCAAGCTATTGATCTAATATTCACCATCTTATGTACTTAACTTTCTTACAAATGATTTCTAATACTATTTAGATTGCACCCTATATTACCATAGTGCCTTATTTCCTGCCTTAAATATAATATAGTTCCTTGTATTATATACCCTTAATTCATTTCCAGGTAACAATTTAACATGTCAGATATTTGGGGTAAATTTTACAAATCTAGCTTCCGATGATCTGAATGGCCTTGTATTTGAAAAATTATTGTTATGAGCCCATAAGATAAATGTTGTAGACTGTTGCCTATATCATCTTACTTTAAATTGTTATTAATTATCTATATGATTTAAAGATCGGCTAGGTTTTTGAAATAAATGCCTAGATATTGACTATTTCATGATGAAGTATTGATGAAATTGGCAACAGGTTCTTGGGGTTTTCTGAAGTCAGTTTTTGTGAAATGTACCCTATAATTCTAATGAAAATAAAGAAATAATTGGAGTTGTAATTTTGTGATTAAAGTGATCTTGTTCTGTATCTTTTATTAAATGAATTCGAAATTTTCAATCTTAGGATTCATTAGTTTAGGTCAAATTTAGTTCAGTTTAGAAATTTTATTTTTGAATTTTCATAGAAACAAAACATTTTTTGTATTAGTTCGTCTTAGCTTGGCCATTATTAATTAGAACAGCAAATTATCAATAGATATTTTAATTATAATAGATTTATGAGGGAAAGCATAGGGTATACTTTTTGCGGTTATTCATTTTAGATCACAATAAAATCACCCGTAGACATCCCTAGGTCTTCTGATAATCATATGTATATTTATTTCTATAATGTAGTTATATTATGATATAGTTCTGTATATATTATTGTATTTCCTTGTAGAGATCTATTTGGTGCTTTTTCTTTTATTTTTAATTTAATTTAGATAGTTACTGTAACTATAAAAATTAGATTAAACATCAAAAATATTAATTTATTTGTTCAGAAGTTTATTAACGTTCCCCATGAAAATAGAGTTGATATTTTCATGCATCAAATTAGTATATATATATATCTGGTAAGCATGCTACAAATTTTTGTAAGTAAAAAATTAACCGATAGATGAATGAATATCTGTGGATTATTCAAATCTAGATATTATTTATATATATATTAGTAATATAAAGTATTGTATTGTATTTATGAGTTAGGTTGTACATGTTTGTGTCCTAACTGTACATGAAAATGAAATGGCAATTATATAGTCAAGGCTGTGTATTCTCTAAACAATCTTAGTGCTAGGATATCCTTGAAACACTGTTAGAAGTTTAAACCCTGGGACATCAGAGCACTAAGATCGCTTTGAGAATATGCATGCAGGAATCTTATTCTCCAAAATCCAGATTTTATGATATACAGTAATCTGATTGGATAATTAAATTTAATTCAAAATCGATTTTAGTGTTTGACCAATCAGATGAATAGAAAACTAAAATCATTTTAAGTTAAGTTGTGGAGAATAAGGCCCCGATATAGGTGTTTAAGCACATCCAGGTCGTATCCAAAACATAATTAAAGTAGACCTATTAAAGACGACACTGTAAGTTTGATTTGTATTACTCTAATACTATTTATTCCACATGGAATCATTACAGCCTTCTTTTGTTTATGTTTGGGAGCCATCTTGAATGTTCATAAATATTTTTGTCCGTCTATAATGTTGTTGTTAGATATTATATTTATAAGATATGTTATTTATTTTGTCTATATTATTGTTTATTAGTTAAAGACTAGTGTAAAAATAATTCAATCTTTCAATATTAATGAGATGTTGTTCATTCTGGAGGGCTGTATAGAGTGGGCCAGAAAGAACAGATTGGTCAGAAAAAACAATAACACTTTTCATTTCAAGATTGTTCATCACGTATCAAAGCTAAGATAATATTTTTACCTCATAATCATAGTGATATTTGACATCTTTTCACCAAATTACAAATGTAATAAATTTGGAATAACAGCAAAAAATATCTTAGGTACTTCATGGATAATCGTTGACCTGATTATAGCCTTTTGGGGTCTTTGCTAGGTTAATCTAATGGTAACAATAATGGGAGAGGCTATAGCTCAAACTTTGATGGTGTGAGTGGTAGTGATCAAGCTTTCCCCCCCTTTTTTTTGTTTTTAACAAGAAGATCGACAGTTTGGTCCAAGCATATATTTGTTTTTTTGGGTCAAGCTCAATTGCATGAAACATGAAATGAAATGAATGAAGTTTTAACAACCATGTGGGCTAATGAAGACTGGCTGCAGGGGGCAATGAGGGAAATTTTTCCCAGACAGCGGCATTAGCCTTAACTTTTTGATATCCAACAGTCGAGGGATCACAGCTTGTAGCACATGGGGCCTCGGTTTATTGTCCCATCCATGTCATCCCCTGCAAATTGTGTGAATCAATCATTCAAGCAACTGCATATAAAGCAATAGAAAAGTAATATAGCCCAGTTGAAGAAAAATAAACATTTTTATTGAAAATATATTTATTGTCTACAAGAGAACATCTACTTCTTTGAAAGCATCATATCAAATTCATTTTCTTATATGGTGTTTAAAGGAATACTACCTCTTAGAATAGAATATAAAGTCTCTTACTTGGTCAATAGAGTACATATTCATCAGTAAAACTTACCAAGTACCATGACTAAAGAATAAAATCTCTATATTATATGATATATAGTAAACAAAGTAATTATTGAAAAATGCTTCTAAGCCTATTTTAAAATTACTTAGTTTAAATAATTATTACTTTGTTTTATTGATGTATTGGATTCATACATGTGTACAGGTCAAGAAAAAAATCTGAGATTTGCCTTGAAAAATCTGGAGATTGGGTGAAAAGTTGGGAGATTTTTCCAAAGCGCGTAAATTCATGATTTGAAACTCCAAATTGATTCTTTTGGATTATAGAGGAATTTTGTCATATAGTTTTGACACCAGGTAAGTCCAGTGATGAGCAAAGATTCATTTTGGCCAAGTTTTAAAATTTCAGTTGCTATGTCATCCTGAGAGGTAATATCTCTTTAATGGTGATTGACAAAAAATTTCAAATAGAACAAATTTTAATATAAATTTATATTTTCTTGATGAGATCCAGCAAGCTGGTCCGTTCTTGGCATTTATCTTTCCCTGCATTATTCATGCACAGTTGACTGGAATCATTTACCATAATCTCAAGTAGCTAATTTAAAAACCAAGCCAAAATACATATGTATATGAAAAAAACCAAATATTGAGGACACACAAAATTCTATATATACATGTCATTAGCACTCATTAGTATTCATATATGTACATATTATGTTAATTTATTCATAATCTTATGATGAAAAATTCTCTCTAAATCTAACTTAATTCATTGAAAAAATCAAATAAAAATTTCATTCTAATCAATTTTAAATAAACGTTACTACTGCAGAATTTCATCATTTACTTAAAAACTACTTAAAATTCCTTTAAATGCAAATTATTCATCTTAGGGTAGCAATAATGAGGATTTGTATTCTATAAACATTTAGCACTGGCTTCTGCTTTTCAAAAAATCTTATGATCAATTTTTTTCATAAAAATAATATTTCTCAACTTAAAATTACAATTTTACTTACTTTTATAGTAAAACATTTTGAGACACAGGGCACCTAATTACCACCCTGAGTTACTAGTAACCCCCTAGGGGTGGCAGTCAGCATCACAGGGCCTCTGTGAGAGGCCTCTTTGACATTGAATAATAATGTTATAATGAACTGGATTCTGACTTCTATTCTATCACTTTAAGTATTCACCACTCAAACTTTGCTTATTGCTTATAATGGTAGTACCACAGCAGTTATATTTAGAAAATGAGTACAAAGAGTAAAAGGTTGGGAACCAGACGGTGTATTCTTGAAAGGATCTTAGCGCTAGGATGTCCTAGGGTCTTGACATCTGACACTGTTTCTAGAATATCCTAGCGTTATAGAATATATGACCAGAACTATCCAGTATAATCAAAATATCATCATAATCATTTCTCTTACAATTTCTCCTACTAACAGTAATGATAAGCTATATAATTTATTCATTCATATTAATGTTTTGATATTGAAACTATGAAACCCCTAACAAGAGACTGACATAAAATTATTAATCAACTCTGTATTTTACAGTAACTGCCCAGCAGTCAATTTATTAGCCGAAGACATGTTTGTTAATATTATGTTTGAGTTAACCTATTTTCATCAATGAAGCGAAAAAATCAAAAACACTGGACAATTTTTAATCACACTTAGTTAAACTGCAAAACATATAATCCTGCTTTATCCAAGTTTACATGTTAATTGACTGCCATACACTTGTAGATGATTTCTTTGGTGCATTTATTAATAGGTAATTTATATAAATGGGACTAAAATTCCAATGTTTTATATCTTAGTGGTTATCCTGATGCATGCAACAATGCCAACTTTCACTATTTGAACACTGAATTGTAAGAAATACAGCACCATATACTTTGAACTCCAAGCTATGTTAGTGTAATGTAACTCGCTAACAGGCACTATACAGACAGCTTGTAATCTAGATCACAATATCATATAGCCAGGAGAGTGGTTGCAAGTGTTGAAAGAACATAATATTGTTAAAAAAATTAATTAATTCGAGGTAAATATTGATCAAATTAGTGAGCACATTATTAGATGAACTTTTTAACAAAATAACAAAACTTAACAACTTCAGATTTTAACAACAGAACTGAGACAATCTAAAACAACTTTACTAGTTTTTAATTTTTACAATATTATTGTAAGTGTAAAATTGAACAATCAGTGCAAATCAATAACACAAAATGATGAAATTTTCAAATTAATGTCCCTTAACTTCTATCTTAAAGTAAATAAGTTTTCTAAACTTTTTATGTATATTGGAGACACTGATATCATCAATTTGCACCATTCAAAAATACAGTCAGACATCTGTGGTTCGTGAAATTCCACTAAAAGAAGCCTTTTATGACCTCACTATTGCAAAGGCCAATTTTTACAACAGTGACTTCATAAAATGATGCAAATTAATAACACGGTAACCCTGGCACCATTCCAATTTTCCTTTAGACATCCGTGGCTCTTGCAATTACACTAAATCAAGCGTGATATGACATTACAAAAGTTTTTAGATATTATAAGCAGCTTTTGCAACAGTGAATTCATAACACATTTAGAAAATATGTGTTATACAAGGAAGGTTTGTATAGGATCGTTGGAGTCCACAATGCATATGAATAAGAAACAGACTTTTCAACTTTAAACCTCTTCTTATAATTCATCATTATACTTATATTTTACTATATTTCATTTCAATTTTGATTTTGATTTCAATGGTTTTCAATTTACGACAAAACTATTCCAATATCATCATTCAAATTAGTCAGTCAGACAGTCGTAGAACTCTTTTCAAAACCTGTAAAAATATGATGATAAATGCGGCCTACTAAATATAGTAATACTGTACTGGAAGCCTGTATATATATATATATATTTTATTATTTAAAGTAGATCAGTAACACTGTTAAAGTTAGTTAATATACTGCCAACATTTCTCAATTCCATATTTTCAAGGCATAGCATAGTCATATATATCTTTTAAAATTCAAAAGAAGCTTTATACATATATCAGAGACATTTATAGGTTTGATTTATTATTTTTGGATTTTTAACAGGAACAGACTTAAAGTCTTACAGGCTGCATTTTCTATTGTCAATGGTACATTGGTCTTAAAAACCGTTGTTATTCAACTAAAGTTATCAGTAATAGTGTTCACAGCTTATTGGCCTTATGCTGGGGGCAGACAAGCTTTTTTTTTAAATCGCAAAAAATATTCGCTACGTGTGCCCTTTATTACACTCGTCTACCCCCAGTCTTAATAATCTGTGCTTGAAAATTTCATTCATGAGTCACTAACTTCAAATTCTCTTTTTGAACTGATTGGATAATAACACAGTAGCCTCAAACAAGTATAGGCAATCAGAATGGTGCTAGTCCTTTATACATATACATATACAAAGGCTACAAAAACCATCTTTTAAACCCTATAAATTCATTGCCTGGCAATTCTGAAATATATCTATATATCTCAGTTCAGCCATCCCATTCCCAATTAAAATTCATCTTAAGTCTATATTAATTAATAATTATAATCCTTTGTTAAAAAAAACTCGTTCTGGAGGATTAGGGCTAGACTTTATCTTCTTCTGTAAATCTTCTTCTAATTTATTAGTTGCTATAGAGCTGTAAGATAAGAACATTATGGTTTAAAATGATAATGGTATAAGAACTACCCTGACTGTATGTTTTTGAAAATCTTCCGATTAACAATTAACTTTCAAGGAAAGTTTGATTATTCATCTGTTAATTTTCATGACCTTGGAAAATTTTTCAAAGTTTTATTTTTTCAATGAAATTTCGTACTTATGATAAACAAATGACTGAATAGTGAGAGCGAAAGTTACCTTTTCTGAGGGAAGAGAGCACAGCACAATGGAGTGGCAAAAACCAGGCTGAAAATAGAACCAATTAATCATGTATATCAAACATACTAATGGGGAGCCCTGACTTCAAATAATAATTATAAAAATGATTAAAAAAGTATACAATGTCCTATTTCCTTCTGTGTATATCAGCCAAGACCACGGTCTCTCAATTTCTCAATCTATCAATTTACACCATTACAATTTTCAATCTGTAATTCTACTAAAACTGGGTGTTTGATGATGTCACTAATCGCAAAATATGCTTGTATCACATAAGGCCCTTTGGAATTAGTGACGTCATCAAACACTTAGTATTATTGGAAATGCAGGAATCACAGAAATTTGTTTTGGAATGGTGCAAATTAACCAAAGGCACATTGATCACTAAACAGGTCAACCATTGAACTTGCTACCCAATGAGTTATCCATCCGACCGATTTGTCTGATCAACGTAGCTTTACTGTTGATAAATTAAACAAACTATATACTTACAAGATGCCGATAATACCAACTTGTACTGGAGCGTTTAAATAGGGGCGTGTCTGGAATATAATATTATACACTGTTAAAATAGACCATACATACATAATTAAATACATCTATTTTACATTGGTTTTTGTTATGAGTATCTGATGCAATGTCATGAATATTAAATATGTCATGAATATTAAATATGTCATGAATATTTAGTATGTCATGAAAATTAAGAAGGTCATGAATACTAAGACTGTCATGAATATTGAGTATGTCATGAATATTAAGTATATCATGAATATTAAGTATGTCATGAATATTTAGTAGCCTGCACGTGTATGTTACATGTGTGGGACTGTAATATGTTGTGTTGTCACTTCATGTGTGGCCACCATGATGAGTGGACGTGTTCTACAGTAATAAATATATGAACTATAACAAGTGTTGTATCAGAATTTAACAGTTTTGACAGCACAAATTATCTTTTCCTTTTAGTAGCTATATAGATTCACCTTTATCACAGATCTTGTCAAAAGAAGTCCATCTAGACATTTTACCGCTTGTCCAACTGTATAAATTGGTAATAATTAACCACATAACTCTTACAATTTTAATAACATCATAAACTGTAACATTTTAATGTTAGCAAAAGCAGACCCTGACAGGAATACAGAAATACGTAAGAGAACCATACCTTTAACCAGTGTTTCTTCTCTAAAACATTCATTATAAATGGTGGAATCACTGAAAATACATTTAAAATAAATAACTAGAGTTTTATATCACTTGACATTTGATTTACAATTTCAAAAAATAGATTTTTTAGTTCATTTGGCCTTTTCATCTTTGCAACAAGGGTGGTGTTCTAATCAGGATCTGTCTGTCCAAATTCTTCCCTCGATCGAATGTTACAGAAGCACATTTGACACATTCATTATTTTCTCATCTGTTTCCTTTTCCAACGTTTTGAATTCTGTCTATACCTATTATATTTTCGGCACAGATGGAACGCGTTTTGAACTCTGTTTCAACTTGTTTTATTAATTTTATTTCTTCTCTAAATTTCGAACATGCAGAACTCACTAACTGAGCGACCCAAAGGAGATTACTGTTGAAGATGGCCAGCTAAGAGAAGATGAGTTAGGCAAATACAAGTACTCAGCCTAAGATGGTGCTTACCATTCTTGTGACACTGTACATATATCTGAATTTATTTAATATTACTAAAACAAACTTACTCATGCCTGGTGTAGCCATAAATACTCTAGAGATCACAACTTGAGTTATAGCAGATTTAGCAGCTGTTTTAGATTCTCCTAAACGATTTCCATTTTCATCAAAAACTGGTATACCATTAAGTATCTCCCTAGAATATAAAGTTCATACAATCAATAATTCCATTCTATTTATATTTCCAGACACATCTCCCAGGCAACCTCAACTATGTAAGACTGTTTAATTTAAGATAATTTTTAAAAGTCTATTTCTTTACACAATTTGCTTTGCATCATCAAGAAACAGATTCAAGAAACTAAATCTCATCATATATTCTTTCACAGATCAGATAAAATACAAAATATACAAAACAAAACATCCATATATAAATGCATAAAATGTTAAACCATGAAATTTAGTGCCACGGCAATAAATGATATATGGAGTATTTAGTACCAAATGATATAATAATACGGAGTTTGTTGAACCTGAGTAGACATTTATCAAATTAACACTGAAATATGCAAAGCGGAAAAACATCCATATGAAGAAGCTTTTAAGAATAAAACCATTGAACTTTGTCTTATGAAATAATGATAATAGTTTTTGTTGAATATATCAAGCTCGATTACTGTCAAAAAGTGTTATATCAAATTCAGTTCCATGGAAAAGTAATAATGGATCAAGTTGTTTGAATACCAAAGCACAATAACTTCAATAAAAGATTATAATATCAAAAATACCCTCACCGGCTTCTCATACAGGGAATGTTAATACAATTAGCAGCAGCTACAGCAGCAAATGGAACAAATCGGCCAATCAAGGGAGGGAATTTCTGGAAAAAAAGACAACAAACATAAAAAATTTGCAATGAAGAAGAATTTACTTTTTTGAATATATTATGAAGAGATGTTATTTTTTGTCTGATTTTCAAAAAGATAGGGCTGACTACGAAAAAGCTCCTGATTTTTAAGATATAAAAATACAGCAATTGTCTAGGGCCAATAAGCTATTTAATTTCTATTGTAAGATTTTTTGAGAATTGGAGGCCAGGGTAATAAATGTTTAACATCCTGAGACAGTTAGAAACTAGCCAAATTTCTAAAATTTAAAATTGAATAGAACAAAAAGGTGAAAAAAATATACAATTTCATTGGATAGAATTAAACAATAGAAATATGACTGACCTTGACCAAACTATTCAAGGTTAAAGCTGTAGTGACGGCACCACCTGTAGCAAGTACATACGATAAACCTAATTGTCTGAAATATAAATATAGAGTGGTTGTAAAAGCAACATGTTATTGAAATTACAAAATCACAGGTCAAGGAGGGGGTAGAATATGACACATGACTGTGTCACCCAAGTCGCTTGAAAGACTGGATCCTGATCGGCAACAAAGATGGTGGAATACTGTAGCCAGATATAATGGTCGGTGGCTCTGCTGCCCTATAGAGGATATTTTGTCAAATGATCTTGAAAATGACAAAATTAATTACTTTCAGTGTATGAGGAAAGAGGATAAAGGACAAAATTGTCAGAGCTACTGTAACGTCATCACCATCATTATTTCACCATGGCAGAATTCAAGTTTGCAAAACACATTTATCTTGCAATTAAAAGTAAAAGGTCCAATGGAGAAGGCCAAGGCTAACATAATTTGGAGAAAAGGGCTACTCACTTTAATGGTATAGGTGAATCTCCACTTCTATTAGTATAGTTAACTATAGCATTAAATGACTGATTGATCCACTGCCAAAATAACACAGCAGGAGTTGTCCTGAAAATAGACCATTCATCTAACATGGAAATTTGTCTCATTGCAAGGCTAAAAAGACAATGTGCACTATGCTCTGGGAAAAATGCAATACACTGAAAATTCTTAGGAACAAAATGAAAATGGTGCAGGGTAGAGCAATAAAGTGTTCCATGTTGTACAATCTCACTAGAGTTGGAAATTAAAATGAAGAGTCTGTAAAAACTTGTATGATTTGCAAAAAGAATGGTGTTTCTAATCTTTGCTGTTCAAATAAGGTGTAATAGCGTGTTAAACCTCATTTATACAATTGAATTTAAGCTCAAAACTAACAACTATAAGACCATAATTAGCTGGACAGGACATTAAATATAACTGGCAAGGTCGCAAATTTAACATACTTATAAAATGTCATCATACAGCCAGTAATGGTCATGTTACATGGAACCTGAGCAGACATTCTCCCCAATATAAACATTTTCTCCTTGGTATCAGGGTGGAAGGCTGAGTCGTATAAATGTTTGGCTTTCCATACATCATCTATATTATAACCTGGTAAAGGTTCTCCTTTTCTATAATATACACAGTAAGTAATATCTTATAATCATTCACTTTAAAAATACAAGATACATAAGAGAGCAATGCTTAATGCTGCGCATACATGAACAGTCTTTGTCGCTGATTTTTGTCGACAACGAGAGTAAATCCTTAGTAAAATCTCACGTGTGTCTGCACTTCAGTCACAAGATTATCATTTGCCGATAGAATTTATCATATCAAACCAGATCAAACCATATTTGTTGCTGATTGTTTTATAGTTTTGAAGACAGAGTGTCATCATCCAATCAGATTCATTTTCCTTCCAATTACATGATGCATAATTGATTATCGACAAAGTGGACAGTCGGTGAAGCTCTCGATGAGACTCTGTCGGGAACAAAAATGGCTGACCGAGACCGTTCGTGTGCCTGCAGACTACGAAATCCAAAGTGTTTGATTCAATAAAATCATTGCCTTTACGAACTTCAGTGATATACAAAAGGTTGCTATTGCAGTCAAGGTATTAGACACACATTGTAATAGATTGACATTGTAAAGATAACTTGACCCCTACCTACCTGTATTTTTCTACCACAGATTTAGCGTCCTCTAACTGACTGGAGGTAGCAAATAAATTCAAGGGGTTGGTGGTGATAAAGAAATGTTTTGCTCTCCCTTCATATGTAGACTGATCGAATCTAGGTTCATCTAGGTTAACTTTAGGTAATGTAGTTGACATGGTTTATCCTGACCTAAAATTTACAAAATTCACTATCATTTGATGATTTGATGATTAAAATTTCACTTCATCATTTTTAGGAATTTGCTTCTCAAAAAAAAATCACACTTTTTTACATCACTCTAGTTATTATCTATAAGCTTTCAGCACTTTAATTTAATGGAATTGTAAAGAGGTTCTCTAAATGTTCTATGTGTATCGGGGACTGTTAGCAACAATATATTTGGTAGTGAAAACTATAAAGCACCCCTCACCACCTTGTTTTTTTAATGTTTTATTCTAAGAAGGTCATGTACCTTCGATAATCTGAAAACGTAAGACCTAAGAAAGTTGAATTATGATTAATATATTATAGATAGACTAACTGATAAGATAAGGAAAGGTAGGTAGGCAAGGACCATAGTCCAGAAGTTCAATATGTAAAAAAAACTTTGGAATGAAAAAGCAAAATCTTTTTGTCCAGATTATAGTAAAACCATTATGTTATTGCATTGTTTCATTTTGTTATTTTCTCAAAATGAAGGAACCAGAGCAAAAACATTTTACAAAAATAGAGAAAAGAATGCAAATTATGTCGAAATTTTTCACCATAAGGACACTTTTCAAATCTGACCCTGGACATTTCTTCATTGGTCTAAATGACAAGTTCACCATCCGTTTGACCAATCATACCTTCTTCTCAGAAACGGGAATTTTTTAGCTAAGCCAATCTGTAAGAGTGTTCACAGCTCACCCTTGAAATTTGAGCCTTCAAATCCATGTGTGTCCAGAATTATCTGCATTTGAAAATTAAAATGACGACTCAGCTTTATTACGGACAAGACATAATAATAAGTATAATTTCTAGTTTGAGATATTTTTGAAGGAAATTTGCGATTTTCGTACATTTCTAGTACTTCTGTAGACTATTCAAGACCAAAATCAACCCCTGAAAATGGCAAATCTGTCCCTTTAAGTACAGTACTCCTACACTGACAAACTAATTATGCAGATTTATCAAATTTTTAAATTTCTTTTTTTTTACAAATTCACTAATGAGGTCAGTTGTATGAGAAATAAATCAAATTTAAAAATCTTGTCAAACTTGTCGTATTGCTTTCAAGACACAGAGAGAATTTTACAAAGTGAATTTTTGACCTACTAAAAGTCTTTAAGATATTTATCTTTTATCAAGAATCTTATTAAAAAGAAATTCTTGAGGCTTTAAAAACTAAGTTCAAGGGGGATATCATAACAAACAGGAATTGATCTTAAAATTTTTAGAAGTTACCGGTAATTAAAATATTGATGTTATGATTTTTTTCAGAAGGGGGGATCACGAAGTTGATAAAAATACAGAATTGATCTGAGATTTAATTGAGAGTGGTGGACCAAATATTTTAGAAGTTGGTTAAAATATAGAATCAATCTGAAGAAGTTTTGAGAATGGGGGACCAAATATATTTAGTTTATCAAAATACAGAATTTATGCAAAGATTATTTTAAGAATGGGGAACCAAATTTATAGAAGTTAACTTAACAACAGACACCAGAATTGATCAATATCCTGAAACCTATCATTGGTTTGTATGTCATTGGTATATTCATTTTGCAAATATAAACACCAGAATGACTAAGTTTCTAGTCATGGGACTATGATATATTCAGATGTAATATAAGACAATGTAATTAAGATAACAAGACTTTCTATGTCAATATAAACTGTAACATAATATAATCACAATACATTGTTTTCTTCAAGTGATACGGCCATCAAATCAGGCCATCCAGGAGTATTTCTACATGGGGACCAGAAGGCTCCCCCACCCCCCTACCCAAAGATTCAAATATTTCATCACTGAGTTTTTAAATGTATTGTGCTGTGAGCCATCCTTGACAATTCTGTGGACCTTACTAGACTCCTCCACCTAATGATTTCTAGAAACACCACTGAGCTTATCAGCTGATAAGGAACATTTTTCAGGATGAAATTGTGACATCAGGTTCTATCGCAATTAAAGAACAATAGTATCAGATCTGCAGCACTGATGATTTAACCATAGAACTGTATATTATAGATCTATGATTTAACAATAAGGAAGAAATAATACAAAGAGCATGTATGAGAACAAAAAAATGCCATCACTATCCAATTCATTAAAGCTCATTTTTATTGTAGACAAACCAGACATTGGACCTTTAATTGAAAAGTGATATGGATGGCAGATATCATGTAGTAGAATCTGACAAAGTGCAGAATTAGACGATTACATCCCTTATATCTCCAGTCCATACATCTAACTTTTACATTTCTTTCAATAAAGAGAATTAACCTGAATATCACATTGTCCATCAAAACAATTCTAGTTACCAAAAATCTCGTCAACAGCATGACAAAATCAGGAGTAACAATTTAGTTTAATAGTACACTCCTCAAATGAGAAATACTATCAAATAAAACCCCCGCTCTAGAGGTACTAGAAGCTTAATTATTGCCCCTTATATGAGGTTTACCGGCAACGGTACCACGTGGTAGCAATTTGTATTAGAACTATATATTTTACCTTACCCCCTATTGTGAGGTTTACCTGCAACGGTGCCAGGTGGTAGCAATTTGTATTAGAACTATATATTTTACCTTGGCCCCTAATATGAGGTTCACCTGCAACGATGCCACGTGGTAGCAATTTGTATTAGAACTATATATTTTACCTTGGCCCCTAATATGAGGTTCACCTGCAACGATGCCACGTGGTAGCAATTTGTATTAGAACTATATATTTTACCTTACCCCCTATTGTGAGGTTTACCTGCAACGGTGCCATGTGGTAGCAATTTGTATTAGAACTATATATCTTACCTTACCCCCTATTGTGAGGTTTACCTGCAACGGTGCCACGTGGTAGCAATTTGTATTAGAACTATCTATCTTACCTTACCCCCTAATATGAGGTTCACCTGCAACAGTGCCACGTGGTAGCAATTTGTATTAGAACTATATATTTTACCTTGGCCCCTAATATGAGGTTCACCTGCAACGGTGCCACGTGGTAGCAATTTGTATTAGAACTATATATTTTACCTTGGTCCCTAATATGAGGTTCACCATCAACAGTGCCACGTGGTAGCAATTTGTATTAGAACTATATATTTTACCTTGGCCCCTAATATGAGTTCACCTGCAACGGTGCCACGTGGTAGCAATTTGTAAAAGTAGCAGACTGGCTGAAGAGATGATAGCAATATGTTTGCTGAATCAGGATTTACATTTCCTTTATTGTTTTGTATGTAAAGTAAATATTCATTATGATATAGGGAGCTGTAAATGTCCAATAAAAAGTGTCAAACTGAATTGTATTCTGTCACTTTTCTTCTTGACATTAATTTACTAGGATTTATTTCTCTTCATATCTTCTAGATAACAACATAATAGACAGAAATATGGTGGCTAGTTTGGGACAGTGAATCCTGGGCACGCCAACACCTTGATTAAACAATCGTCTTCAATAAGGAACCAAAATAAAGTTAACCCTTCGACTTTTCAATATAGCTTTTGACTGATAAGCGACCATCTTCATTACCGGACCAGCGCCCATAGTTAGTGAAATCAAAATTAAAATAAATTAAGCGTCGATTACAGTTCTCATTATCTCCCTTGTATAATCATCACAATTCACATGCTTTCACATATAGCTGAGATTAAACGATATTATAGTTTACAGCAATTTTCTAATTATCACAAGAATAATCAATACAAAGCTGACCCAATACTGTTCTAAGAGACTACCTTCATTAAGAGACCGTTTGGATTATTCTCCTGAGTAGAACTCTTAATACCATACATGTGTAATCTACCGATGTTGTCAGGTTTTTTCCGCTTTTGCATGTTGTCTACCGCTCTACCGACGGGATACCCGATTCTACCGATTTTTTTCCTGGCCAAATTTTCACGGGACCTACCGTTTTTAATGTCCAAATTCTCTACCATAAATCAACAAAATATCTATCATTACTTGTGTCTTAATTGCTGGTAACACGCGTTAATCTCATCACGTAATAATATTATCATTGCTGATTAATTAATCCCCCAATTAAGATGGTAATTTGATCTATTTTCACCCGATAACTTTTTATAACAACATCCGGTAGATTCTACTTTCGCTTTTATAATAAATTTTACGGTAGCCCTACTTTTACTAAAAAAACGAAACCTTGAAGTCTTCATAGTATTTTATACTGTCAGTGTCAATCTATGAGGTCTATAAAAGGCCTATATAACATAGATGTCTTTTTTGACATAATTTCTATTGCATTTTATTCCTCCTCACATTTAGTAGAGTATTTGTATGATATTTGAAATCTAGAATGTATTACTGTATTAACTTAATACAGTAATAATAATGATCATAGATTTGATGTTTAGGACCCTTTTAACATTCCAGAGTTTTAAATTAACCACCATACAGTACCAAAGACTTTGAAAACCTTGACATAAGTCAAGCGACACACTTTTATACATTCTAGATTTCAAATATCATACAAATACTCTACTAAATGTGAGGAGGAATAAAATGCAATAGAAATTATGTCAAAAAAGGCTCCAAATTAAAGTTTGGAAATTAAAGCTCAGGTTTGAATTCTTTGCCTGACTACAATATGATCATTATCTAAAGAAAAAATAGTTCAGTTCTAGTTAGGCAGTATGATCAAAATTAAATCCTAATTAAACCACCATAAAAAAATCCTTGATAAATTCGACCAGCAAACAATAGAGCCTTGATGAAAACAGCCCCATGAGTATGATCCCAATCTTAAGTAAAAAAATTAAAGTCCTAATTTAACCACCATACAACAAAAAAATCCTTGATAAATTAAACCACTAGAACAAAATAGCCCCATAAACATGTAGAGTATGATCTCAATCCTAAGTTAAAAAACTTAAGTCCTAATTCAACCACCATACAATTTAATAGCCTTGATGAAAACAGCATCATAAACATGGGCGGGGTCACTTGTTTAGA